AGATGACAACTTGTTTGACTCAAGGATCGCAATCTTTTTGAAAAACAACACATTAATCTGATAAATAAAATTGCAATTTTTGATAGTTCAAGTGTGATAGTAAAACGTCGCATAATTTTGCTTCATCTCACGGTAAGAAAGTTTCATGGTAATAACTCGAAGTTGACATGTCTGTTAATCATCGTTGCTAAGAACAAACAACTGAATTTGTTCTCAAACAGTCCAAATTTACCCTACAAACTATGAGTTAGTAGCCTAAATTGGCAACTACATGTTAAGTAATGTTCGAGACAGCAAGCGACCTAAAGTCGAACCAATTATTAGACTATTTGACTCAAACATAGATTTACGAGGTACCGAGAGGCGTTTGCTAAAAGAAATTCTCAGCTATTGTATTTATATAAAATGTTTTCTAACCATAAGTCGATAGGTCAAACTCGTGTGTTTAGAGAAACCTATTATATTCGTTTGTAATTTGATTGGTGGCATACCTATTAAGCTCGAAAAAAATTCATAATTTATAACTTGATGTTATCTTTTGTCTGCAGAAATGCTGCTTTGTTCTTTTTGTTCTGATATGGACTTCTACATTACAATCATCAGATGCAGGTGAAAACTGATACTAAACTTTTAAACTTTTTAAACTACCGAGGGAATTATTCGTACCAAATTTTTGATATGGCTGCACCAAAAAATGCGCCGGATCTAGGATTTTCTTGAGGGGCGGTTTTCAAAAATTGTTCGAAAGTTTTGTCAACCTTTTTTTTAAATAGGCCAAACTGATTTTCCGAGCTTTCCCAGAACATTATAAAGACCCTATTTTGACCAAAAATTTGATCGCAGGCAAATTTTGAAAAAAAAAATGAAATTTTTGAAAAGTTTCTGCACCCTTTGCAAAAAAATTAGATCCACCACTGAATATTACTATTGCATTAAAGTTTCAGGCATAAAGTAAGCATTGGAATTATCCCTATATCATATCTAGCAACTATTTTTTTGGGGATAATCTCGTGACAGAGAAGTCGGGCGTATGAAAATTTCCAACAAATAAACATCTGTTCAAAGCTGGCTAATTTTCTGGCGTTTTTAATACAGAATTTATCAATAGTGAGTTTTAATTTGTTATGATAACTTTGTGACAATCATTTTTATTGACATAGAGGATCTTATCTATTCTTCATACCTCAAATACGGTCCGAACATACACAAACTCATTTGTTACGTTTGAAAAATACAAACGTATATCTATCATATTCAAAACTAATCTTGAATGTTGCTCAATTTAACCTTTTTCCTATTTTACAGTTGAAATTCGTTTTTAAAATGTTTCAACCGTATTTTTTTCTCCCATGTCTAGTAGGAAAAAAACTGCTCATATTAAGCAAAAAAACTGCTCATATCAAGGCGTCGCCCTGAATGTTCCGACTGCAAATTAAAGTTATGGAGTGGTGCTCAATTTGAAAAAAAATTTCAACAGGGCAGATATTCTATCTGCCCTGTAATGATTATTCAGCGAGTATTAAAACAAGACCGCTTATACCAGGGCCACTACCTGAACTTTCCGACAACTCTAAAAGAACCTGGTTTCTATAAAAAGTTTTTCTTTGGAATTCATCCCCTTTCGGCTATTTAAACTACAGGGTAATTAATAAAATAATAAATAAAACCTTGAACCTAATAAATAAAACAAATAAAAAGCCTCATTTGAGTTTGGAACAATTTGTAAGCCTAAACAAGACTGCTTATATCAAGGCGAAACCCTGAATGTTCCGACAGCCTTTTAAGGTCTATAGAGCAGTATTAACACGAAAAAATTAAATGTAATGAAATAAAACAATTTTTTTTTCAATTTGAGATTTTTTTGAAAACCATTACCCCATGACGCCATTAAAAGCATTAAGTGATAGATTTTGATCTTAGTAACAAACCAATTATGACAAAAAAGCTTCCTTTAACCACTTAGAGGGGCCCTTCAACGATTTCTAAGACGGATTAAATCTCCGCTTACGCGTTAATAGCGCGAAATATATCGCGTGTTAATTGTCTCAAATTGGCCAAAATGGCAAAGTTCAATCCCCATAAATTTACAAAAAATGATCACAGGTGAAATATTTTTTCAATTGAAAGCTCAAAACAACAATACCTTATGAATGATATAAAAAAACCGTCAAAAATGGCTTGTAAAAAGTCGAATTATCTCTGAAGAAAGAAAAAAACACCCCGAGCACAAATATTCCATTACTTTCGTTACGCAATTCGGAATAATAAATTGTCACTTACGCATCAATAGCACGAAAATATTGCGCACTATTTTTTCCAAATCGGCAATCTTCAAACCCGTATAATTTTACGGAAATTGTTCAAAGATAACAAATCTACTACATTTAAACTCATGACAACAGCACTTTTCAGTTGGTCACAAATTGTCAAAATGTCTTCTTAAAAAAAACGAAATTGCTCAAGAAAAAAAAAACCACAGCACAAATAGCGAAAATCGGAACAGAATTCAATATTTTTTTTCAGGAATGCGGTTTAAGATTTATGGAATAAAGTTTGCCTTACAAAACTGATGCGTTATTCAAAAAAAAATTTGAACTTCTAAGATTTTTTTTTGAAAACCAACTCCTACAGACAATAATAAGTAGAAACAATTTTTTACCAGGGGTGGATCTAAGATTCTCTCGAGAGGGGATTTTGAACAATTTTTCGAAAATTTTGTCGACCTTTTTTTTCTAGGTCGACGAAAATGGTTTCCCGAGCTTTCCCCAAGCACTAAAAAGACTCTGTTTTGACCAAATGTTTTGCGCCTCAGGCAAAATTTTGAAAAAATTGCCAAAAAAGCATTTTTACCAAATTTTTAATGTTTACCAAAAAATCGCGTTTTTTCGGCGCTCCTCCTCCCTAAAAAAATTAGTATATATTGGCGTCAAAGGCGCCTTTGGAAAAATTTTTGGGTCCGTCAGCCAAAAATGGATATCCCATAATAGTACAAAGGGGGAGCCCTTTGGGTTGGCAGGGGGTCGAATCCCTGAGAAGAGAGCGTCCGCCCCTCCACAAATCCCCCCCCCCCTAAATCCCTCCCATGATCTTATCTTTCGCAAAATATATCGCGCTTTTATTATTCCAAATTGGTCACATTGACAATTTTCAAGCCCTTCTAGTTTTGCGGAAAATAAACACAGGTACAATTTTTTTGTTTTGTAAATTCAAAAATTAAATAAAAAATTGAAAATAAAAAAAGATTAGTTAAAAAGTCGAAGTTTGCCTTGAGAAGAAATTTACGGGTTGTCTCAGAATTGATTCAAAATATTAATCGACACCAATATGTTAAGCTCATTTTCTAGCCTAGCTTATAGTATAGTTGTTGCGGTAGTGGCGATGATAATGGCGTTTGTGATGGGGTGGCGATGAGTGAGTGTTAATAGTGTTACATTAAATGGTTGTATTTTAACGAGTTAGTGAGTGTGTTCTGCTGGAAGTGTGAGGATGGGGAGGACTGTTGCGACAACTGGGCCGGGCTCCCCTTCTGCTGCCCCTCCACTCAATTGACTGACTCAGGTGACGATACTCTAACTAACCTCATCAGTGTATTAGCAAATATTTTCTACATTTAACAATACTCAGCCAACGCATTGTAAAATCAAACAAGATTCGACAGTTTGCTTCTCTGCATTTTTGGTTAGATATACCTTCAAAATTTTGTGTGAATTTCAGTCTATATATATATATATATAAGCAATTGCGTTTTCCAATGATTTACCAGTGATTGAAAACCCGATTAAAAGTTATTTGAAAACAAAGAGAATCTTTATCAATTTTTTTCGGGAGTTTAAGAGTGAGGATGAAATATCAATTTGTTGTCTCGACTTCGATGCCAGATATTAACGCCTTTAAAATGCATTTCTGCGGGTTCCATAGACTACACGCAATTCTGTGCGTCTGTAAAAGGTACAGTTTAGTTAGCCTCGCAATGGTGTTCCCCCATTTCGAGTAGGTTCAGTGTCCTCTGCGTACTACTGTGTGAACAACGATGACTGCCCCACCCTGTTCGATCGCAGCCGGCTGGGGGAGGAGGAGGCGTCCGATCTGGACCACTGTTGTCAGCTGACTCACAAGTGTTGCGACACCTGGGACTCCTTGGAAGACAAACTCAACACACTCGCTGCATCTTTCGGAGGGTAAAGTGAAAAGGATATTCGAAACAATAATGTTTGGACGGATATTGACACATTTTTTTGTCTTTTACAACACATTTTTGAAGTTTTACGCGATATAGATTTTGAAACTGACAATATAGATTTTTTGAAATTTTTGTGAAAGTTATTAGTGGCTTTCAGGAACTCTTCTACTTAATTCGACATGATTCCAGAATGAGAGAACAAAGAAGAACAGAAGAGCGCGTCCTGGTTGCGGAATCCGCGTACAATTCACAAATTACCCATTTTGGCCTTGTAATGATAAAACAATCTTGAAAATTAAATTCGTCTGTGAAAAAAGAGAAAAATATACGCGCCTCCATAGTAGCCTGTTTTCTGTGCTGTTTAGATTGGTACCCTTCTTGCTCGGGGTCATCTGTGTCAGTCTGTTCCTCCTCGTGGCCTTCTGTTGCATCTGCTGCAGAATCATCTGCTGCAGGGGAGACGGATACAAATGACGACACCATGTCACACCATGTCATCAGATGCACAAATAGACGACATTTTAGTTATTACACAATTAGCAGTTACGAAAAAACTTATGTTACCAATTATTTAAACGATTACTTAGAAACTTTTAATCCAGATTTAGAAAAGTTTATATAAAATATATATTAAGGTACTGAGCGAACATCCAAGAATAAAATAAAAATCAAATGAATTTTTTTGGGAGAATTCTGCAGAACAAAAATAATAAGAAGCCAAGCGAACCAAAAACTAAATAAAAACTTAACACACCAGAAAATGCAAAAAAAAACGTTTCTTACTCTCTTTATCAAGCTGAAAAACAAGCTGAAATAGTTAAAATTCTAATTTTGGAAAAAAACAGCATTTTTTTATCTGGCTCTGATTTCTTAAAATTTTGCATCATTACTGTATGTCAATTTTCCATAATATGTCAATGTTTTCACTCGGATGTTTACAATAGTCTTATTGGGATGTTTTATAACAATTTGTAGTCCGATCAGCAAGCTGTAGGATGTTTTCAATAAAAAATGTTTGACTATGCGTCATTTTCATGGTTCTTGCAGTAAAATCACAATTTTCTCTCAAATGGGTCACGTTCCTGTGTTCAATTTAAATAAAAAAAGCAACTGAAGGTAATCTCGTTTATTTTAACTTTTAATTTGATAAATTGAAGGCAATGATAAAGAGAAACCAAATAAAATGATACAATTTAAAATGAATACTACCATCTATTATTGTTCCGACTTTCGTAACGAAAGTAGCGGATTATTTGTGCTCGTTTTTTTTCTTCAACAAATTTTCTACTTTTTAACTGGCCCTTTTTGACGGAATTTTTTATATCATTCAAAAGTAATTGTTGTCTTGAGCTTAATTTGAAAAGATATTTCACCTGCGATAATTTTTCCAATTGCTCAATGCAAAAACTCTATTTTAAGCAGAGGCGGATTTAGGGGGGCGGGGCGGGGAGGCGGACGTTCCCTTTCAGGGATTCGAACCCCTGCCGACCCAAAGGGTCTCCCCTTTGGTACTTTTTGAGGAATCCATTTTTGGCCGACCGTCCTAAAATTTTTCTAAAGGCGCCTTTGGCGCCAATATATACTAACTTTGAGAGGGGCGCGCGCACAAAAAAACGCAATTTTTTTGGCAAAAGTTTCCAAAAAGTGCCCAAAAACGACTTTTTGACCTGTTTTTACAAAGTTTTGCCTGCGGTGCAGAAAATTTGGTCAAAACAGCCCCTTTTTAGTGCTTTAGGAGAGCTCGGAAAATCAATTTGGACAAACTAAAAAAAAGGTCGTCAAAATTTTCGAAAATTTTTTGAAAATCCTCCCCCCCCCTCGAGAAAATCCTAGATCCGCCCCTGATTCTAAGTACCGCATAAGTTCAAATAATTCATACTATATGAAACATTTTCAAAATCAATCGAGTATAAATATACTGAAAATGGAAACACAATAAAATTGAATCGAGATGTTCAAAAATTGAATTGAGCACTGTTGAAAACGATGTTTTTACAGTGCTCGATGTATGTTTTGAAAGTCTCCATTGAATTTTTGTATGTTTTGGCTAACATTATTTAAACAGAACAGATGAAAACATAAAACACAGTCAAAATATACTTCCAGCTTAACCGAAAGCTATCTCGAGTAAAGTTGAAACGTACTTTTCTGGATTACGGTCAATGAAAACATACCATAATTACGGTCAGAACGAATCGGGCTCGATTTTTAAAAACACATGCAAAAATTTTTGGCAGAGATTTTTGAAACATACCCGATTTAATTGGATTTGGTTGAAACATATTGCTAATGTAAACCAAAGTCAAATGCACATTTCTTCTGACGAGAAAATCTGAAGATACCTGAACTAGTCCAAAACAGCTCAAATATATTTGGCTTGTAACAAAATCCACAGCAGTTTTCTTCAGAGGATAAAATCGATACAGTTCCGTGTCAGTCCAAATGTTTTGAAAATCAGATGTAGCTTGAGTCCGTAGAAACGGACCGAAGTCAGGTCGAAATCCTATTTAGTAAATTGAGTATCTCGACCCGAGAAGTTTGAGCTAACTGTGAGCGCTGAGTGGAACAATTGTGAGCGCTGAGTATAATATGATTTTCAGCATCAAAAACAATTGAAACAGAGAAATGAAAATTTTATCAATGACAAAAAGTTTATAACAAAAATTAATATTAAAAAAATTGGTTTGCAAAAAATCATGATTATCTTAATTTTTTCACAATTCTTGAACATTGAAAAGAACTATCTATTTTGCATTTCAAGTGATATTTATTTCAGCAATGGGTATGAAATCAATTAACAGGCCCTTTACCTCGATAAAAGCAACGAGTTAATTAAACAAGAATAGCTGCTCGTATTAATGAAAAGCTGTGTGATTTCCATTAGTTTTTGTTTGAAAAATGTTGAAAACAAAAATCAAGAACTTTTCTTTTCTCCTCCAACGTCATTAATTGGAAAAATAATATTACCAATAAGGTCAATTCAAATTAAATCATTCGAACTAAATCAAGTCAATTCGAATTAAGTGCCTGTTGTTCTCACCATCAAAATATGCCCAAAGAAAAGTGCCCGTAATTTATTTCAAGACAATTGCCGAAATAGAAATTTGACAACAAAGAAAAAATATTTTCTCCGAGGTCCGAAAAACCATCCCAGCCATGTCTACTTTTCTTAAGATATTCAAATGTTGCAACGGAAATCGTTTATCAAAAACTTTTTATCATATTCTCTTGCAATGATTTCTTATGACTTTAAATTGGTTTTGTGCTTTTTTTGATGTTTAAAAAAGTATAAATCTTTGTCAATTATATTCTTTCTTTCAAAACTTTTGTTGCATCAATTAACGGTGCAAAAATTATGAAAGTTCGGTCATCTGCGTTTTGAAAATTTGGGATTTAAGAGTTACCGTGGTAAAAAGAATCAAATTTACAAAAAAAAAATTTATACAAGTTTCAAATTATACATCGAAAGTTTTTGACTACAACGAAAAACGCAATCAGAATAGGTTGGTAAAATTTCTAATCGAAAAAAAAAATCCTAACGACTCAATCACAATACCGAGGACTCCTAATAATTACAACGTCATTAAAAATCTTCCAAAATTTTTTTTTGAAACGCATAAATTTTGTTTTTAACTTTGATTCAATCAAATTTGTTGAAGGTCAAAATAAACCTAAATCAATCAAGACATTCAAAATAGCTCGACCATGATCGAAGCTTAACCTATGCTCAAAACATATCAAATTCGGCATGGTCAAAACTTACCTAGAGCTTTATCGAAACTTACCTCGAGCAAGGTCAACATATACCTCAAACACAACCGAAACAAAAATTGAGCACAGTTGAAACAAGTTGAATAAAAAAATCGTGATTACTTTTATTTGTCATAGAAAGTTGAAATATACATGAACTTGGTTGAGTTTGTCAAAACAAATATGGTTTGCGCCAAAAAAAATCTCGAGCAATTTTTTGGGTCAAATCCATAAGACTCACTATCTGGCATCATTAGGATGGAGGCAATAAAACTAAGTCTCACTTAACCAATCACTACAAAAGGTTTTATTGAACCTTTCAGCTCTACAATTCTTCTTGCAGTAATAATTTTATGTATTTGTCAAACTTTAACCTGCCTGAATAAAGTTTTAACTACCAAAATTAGCTACTTACGAAAATATAAGATTTTAGCTAACAAAATTAGCTATTTAGGAGGCTATTTAGGAGGCTATTTATGAAAAAATAATAATTTTAAGGGAAATAGTTTGGCTTTAAACAAGACAGAAACAAGGCACAGATTAAGTCGCGTTGTAAACACAGAAATTCTGATAAAAGCTCAGCCAAAATAATATTAATAGTTAATCTGGTTAAAGTTTGATTGAAACTGCTTAGTTAGTAAATTCTGAGTGAGGGGGAAGATTTTTAATTTAATAGATGAGTCAAACGTGCAATTGCAAAAGAACTTAATGAAATAAATACAGAACACAAAAAGGTTTGTTAGTCGTGATTTTTTGATGTTCTCAACCCTGTTGATGAGTAAATGTGCCAAAACAATCGTTCATTTTTTTCTCTTCGTATTTTTTATAAGAATGAAGAAAAAAATCAAAAGAAGGAAACGAGTAGTAAGTAAAATTGCGTAGTTTGAGTTACTATTTTTTTGACCTTTTAAAAAAACTGAGCAAAGAAATGTTTTCATGAAATATTTGAAGCTGTTAAACACGCATTGAAACACACATATGCATGGATTTTTTTGCCGATTAAGCTAAGAAATGTGAAGCGACAGGTTATTAACGTGCAAAACGTGAACTTCTGTTGTGAATACCTGGGTGTATGTGTTCCCTGTTACAGATGTGGGCTGGCTAGCTGTACGTATGAAATTGGCGACTGACGTGGCTTCTAACTCTATACATATACAAAAATATTAATGTGAAAATTCCGTAAAACACTGTCCCGTTGAATAAACACCAATTAAAACAAGTCTTAACACTATGGTGACTGAAACCGACCAATGATTAGTACTCGGCGCTAAAAACTGTAGCTTATTTGGTTGTGGTTTTTTGAAATCAGATTGGCCAGCCACCATACGAATCTTATCCTAATTTCGCTACTCGGATTTTCTATACATTCCTGAGCTAATCAATCAGAAGGTTTTCTAAAACCAATTGATATGTCACAAACTGAAACAAGACTACTCGTATCAGGGCGAAGCCCTGAATGTTCCGACTGCCTATTAAGGTTTATGGAGCAGTAATAACATTGAAAAAAGTTTTAAAAAAATAAAACAAAATGATATTTTTTTTCCAAAATTTGAAATTTTTTATGAAAATCATCCCCCCACACGCCATATAAAGTATAAAAGGATAGATTTCGCTACTTGTAACAAATCAATTATGGCAAATAAGCTTCGCTAAACCAATTTGGAACGATTTCTAAGACAGATTAAATCTCGCTTACGAGTTAATAGCGCGAAATATATCGCGCGTTAATTGTCCCAAATTGGCCAAAATGGCATCTTTTAAACCCCCATAACTTGACGAAAAATGATCACAGGTGAAATATCTTTTCAAATTTGAGCTCAGGGCAACAATACCTTTCGAATGATATAAAAAAAATTCCGTCAAAAATGGCTAGTTAAAAAGTCGAAATTTGTCTGAAGAAAAAAAAAACCAACCCCGAGCACAAATATTCCGTTACTTTCGTATCGAAAGTCGGAACAACAAGACTGCTCGTATCAGGACGAAGCCCTGATTGTTCTGACTGCCTTTTAAAGCCTATGGAGCAGTAATAACATGAAAAAATTAAATATAATAAAGTTAAATGATTTTTTTAATTTGAGATTTTTGTGAATATCATCCCCCACACACCATGTAAAGTACAAAGTATTGGATTTCACTCCTAGTAACAAATAGTTATGGCAAATAAGCTTCCCTGAACCAATCTGGAACAATTTCTAAAACGGATTAAATTTCCGCTGACGCGTTAATAGCGCGAAATACATCGCGCGTTAATTGTCCCAAATTGGCCAAATATGCAATCTTAAAACCTCTATAACTCTACAAAAATTATCACTGATGAAAATTTTTTTCAAGTTTAAACTCGAGGCAATAAAATTTTTTGAATGATTAAAAAATTCCGTCAAAAATGACTAGTCGAAAAGTCGAAATTTGTCTAAAGAAAAAAACCACCAGAGCACAAACATCACGTTACTTGCTTTACCAAAGTCGGAACAATAGGAACAGCTACATTAGAGTGTCTAGACATATAATTCAAGCAAAAAAAATTTGGGAACAGATCCTATTCGTCATAAGTCAATCTGCAAAATTCAACTATCTTGATTGATTTTGAGTTAAAAGTCAGACTGCAGCGTGCAATATCAAAATGCAAGCGGTTATTTTTAAAGAACTTTGTAATTACGCTTAAGCTTATTTGCGGACGTGGACCGCTCAAAAAAACCACTGATTACCAAAGGTATTCAAAACGAAATAAAACTTATTACTTCCTTGACATTGCTTTTTGTTTTGAGTTTCGAAGAAAGTGAGGAATATAGGGATTGCCAAGCGAGTGCGCTTGCAGTAGACTAAACGTGGATGAATGGCTCGCATAATACTATAATTTACACAAATGATTCATGCGTGGCAAACTATCTGGACACGTTATAGCTCCTGTTCCATGTTGAATTGAGGCGAACCTTTTGGTCTTCTTAATTCCATACACAATTTAATCTGTAATCTGTAAATTTTGATTTTATCACCCTAAATCTTAGCTTGTCAATATTTCGTTTAATTATTCGAGGCCAATTTATGGGGAAGCGAAACATTCAGGGCTTTGTTTTAAGTTTAATTTTTTTAAAATACGAATTTAGTTTTTACCTATGTATAAGAAATCAAGGTAACAGTTAGGTTTGATTGAAAGGAAGTAGATCAAATACACTCTGTCTATTATATAGTTTTTATACAATACTTCGGAATTATTGAGGTTTTTGATTGGTGATGAATGAAATTCAAAAACGGTTGAAATTAGGAGGAAAGTTTAATCACTACTGAAGTACAAGAAAACACAGCCAAAATTATCGAATTATATTTTCGTTTACTAGATATTTTTTGTTACCAGATGCAGCTTACCAGAAAGCTGCATCTAGGAGTTTTCGGTAACCTTGAAAAATTTTTCATAGAGTTTTTTGAGTTTTAATGATATCCAGTTGCAGTGCAAGCTACAAAAATCTACCAACACGGGTTACTTATTCAAATTATTTTTGCAAAGTTCTGTTATAATTTTGAAACTTGGAAAAAGCTGAATTTCATCATTTCATTAGATTACAATAAACAAAATAAAATTTTGATGATATTATATTCTTTTAAACGATATTGAACAAAAAAATTTAAATTGATATTTTGAAAACAATATTTCCAATCGTCTGCATAGAAAACCCAGAGAGACGAAGTTATCCGGATCATGTTTCTCTAATAATCAGCCAGCTTTAAATTTTTTTTTGAAATCAGGTCATAGTCCTTTCTACTTTTTCCCAATTTAAGTGATACATACAAAATTTTACTTTATGTATCGCTTAAATTCTGGCGTGAATGCAAACTCACAACATGAAAAGCCAATTAATTGATGACAATTTTGAAATGCATACTTTAAACAGAAATGATTGTCAAAAATAATACAAAAATAGGAGGATAATTGACAAGGTCCAATACCGAAGGGTATTCTTAACAAGATCCCATAATTTGAGCACATCAACCGGGGAAAACAACGGGAGTTTTTTTCAGAGATTTTCGCTAAAATGAGATTGTACGTTTTATATTTACAGTTGAATTAGCAACCAAGATAATTTCAAAGACTTATCGATAAGAAAAAGGTAACAGAGTATATGGTCACTCCCAGAAGGTATATGAACCCAATAACCGTGTCAACTTTTCTCAATCGTGTCATTTTCTTCTGAGTTGTGTTTGAGCAAACACGATCTGCAAGCTCATTTAATGCCCTATCTGTGAATGGTGCTTTGAACCCTGGAATTTTGTCTTCATCTTTGCTGTTTTTGCTGAGCTGGACAAAATTAACAGAGATTGTTGCCAAAACCATTGACATGCACGACAAAATAATGCTTGAGAGAATGTATGTGAATAATCTGGGAAACGTTTTTGATGTCATTGGCATGAAATCTGTAAAAATTGTCAAGTTGACACAAAGCGATAGTGTAACCGTTACACCATAGCTGAGTTTCTCGCCAATTTCTCCAGGAATGAAGAAAGTGAGGGAACTGATTCCCAGAAGTAAAACTGTGGGAATTACTAAATTGATCACGAAGTATGTTGGGAGGCGTTTGAAGGTCACAGTTATTACTGCGTCACTGAATGATTCCGTAGTTCGCTCTCGACACGAAGTTTCTAAGATTAAAGATTATTTGTTAAATCAATAACACAAAATATAGACACCTATTTCAACAAATTGATTTATTTGATACCTTGAAATCTCAACGGAGTGAAAACTAGCAAAAAAATGAAAATTGCTCTTTAAATAGATTCACAGTTTGATAATCTCTGCAATTCTCTAACTGTTCTTTAAAATTTGGTAGTATCAAAAGGTATTCGTTGTTTCAGTATCCTTGCCATTAGAAAAAAAATCAGACAAACCTTGCAAGACCCATAGACTATCAGGTATATATTCACTCAAGTTCAGTTCATCTTTACAATACATTTTCAATTCGTCCTTGTAGTACTGCCAGGATCCAACCGCGATTTCACAAGATTGTGAATCAAATGGAAAATTCGTCACATCCATCGAGCAAGAAGTTTCCATGTTAACTGGCTGAGACCAAAATACGTGACCAGAAGCTTTTACCGTTAGAGGCACAATATCACCAAATTTATTGTAATCAAAGTTACCAATTTCATTATACGGAAGAACGTCAGGAATCCATATTTGATTTTGAAAGACCCGGATCTGCTCAATTCCAGAATAATTTGCTGGATTCCACTCCAAGAATTCATCGTGCCAAATTAAAAACTGAAAAATCAACAATTCTATCGACTGTTCTTTTGAGTTAAAGCCAACAAGTTGATAAAGATAGGCGTCATACAGCACAGAGGTAACAGTGGTTCGTTTGCGAACAGGACGATTTAACCGATCATAATTCCATAACAGGTCATGCCTGATACTGGTCGCAGGCTGGCGGTTGTCATCAGTCAAGCATAAAACACTATAATAAAAAATACTTAAAAAAGAAAAATTTTTCATAATTCTGATGAGGCAAGTTTGGTAGTAGAAATTTGACGTTCATCAAATGTAACACTTTTTCAGTTTGAAAAAAAATTTGCCAAAAGTGTTCAAGGATAACTCAACTAGCTTATAACAGTTTTTTTAATGATTGAAACAAATCATTCAATCCAATTCTAAAGACGCGCAGACTGTTTCGACCACATTTATTTCCATTTTTGTCCTTTTTTTGTTTAATGACGTTCAGAATTTGAGGTAAAAGAATTGAGTCACGAAATAGTATGCGCTAAAAAACTTTAAAAAAACACTTGAAATGTTTGTTGTCCTCTTAGTGAACCAATTTTTTTCGTCACTTTTTACTACTTTTCTGCTGAGCAGACAAAAACAATTATATTAACACTTTTTTCTGATATTGAGACACTTTTTTTTTGAAAAAACTATTTTCGAAATTTAAATATTAACTATTAAGGCAGTAGTATGACAACACAATTCATCACTAAAATTTTGCGCACAGGAACTTTGAATTGTGCGGAAAAAACAAAATCTACACTATCGCTATTTAGTGATCGAAACAAATATGTTGGATAATAGTGGCCATAATATCTATATTCATTAAAATGTATGTATGCTTATTCGGTATACGAGATACAGTTTTGTTAAAACTTGAAAACTCAACGAGGGCCATTATCCAGCTCAGCTGAATGTGCAAAATGTGGTTGTTCGATCAATAAATTATACATACGAGACGAAATTTTCTGAAATCGCACAAATTTAACGCAACTAAAATTTCAGCTCAGTCGAACATGCAAATTTTGGTTGTTCGATCAAAAATTTATACTTTAGGAAGCAAAAAATTTATCAATTGCTAAAAAATCAGTACCACTAAAATTTCAGCTCAGCAGAACATGCAAAATTTGGTTGTTCAATCAAAACATAGTACGAACGTCATTGAACAAAATCAGCAGCAGAAACAAACTCAACAAATAATCCTTTCGGCATATAACTGTTGAGATTAGCTTTAAGTCCTTTCACCTGGCCATGTCTTTCACTTACTTCGAAAAAAACTATAAAAAAAAACAAAAGATAATCATTTTATTTTCCTAGCTTAGATATTGGTTACAGGTTTTAAAAAAATTTGCCGTATAACTACTTAGGAAAAAAACCACATGAGCACGTTTTCATAATTATACTTCCTCAAAAAACTATCATAAACAGGCTAAACGTTTCCCTGCTAAACGCTTCCCTATTTGCTGTAGGCTCCTCAAAACAAGAAATAATTCAGCGCAGGAAAATTGTCTTTTTTGATACAGGTTTTGATGGCTGAAACTTTTTTTCAGATCTTCAAAACTAGTTATCAAGACTGACAAGAAAAAAGGTCTCACTAAACTCACACCTTGTAACAACAACAGATTTTTTTTCACAACACAAAGTTTTAGACGCATAAAATACACAAAATTTCTAATCTAAACTAGAACTAGGTTTCAAGCTATATCTTACCAAAAAATAGACTACTGGAACCTGATCTAAACTACATTTTATGATTGGATAATTTAGATATTTTACCAATGTAAAGTATTTAATATTAACCAATCATGATCCATCTAACTAACAACCCACTTATTTGTAAGTGCTGAAGTTACTTGTAATTTCAGCACCAGAGAGATTTGAATTTAACTTAGAAATTAGTTGGACTCTCCCGAGCACTTCAGCAACCGCAATAAACCAGTATACCCTAGATCTATTGAGCCTAGCAGAGACTAGTTAAACAACCTGAGACTAGATAGTATAAGAGTAAGATTAGGATCGGTATTAGACTAAGAAGTTGCACGAATCTATCCGGCCGAAAATAAGATAGCGTGACGAGCAGACGGTGTACCCTATCCGAAATTACTCTATGAGTTAACCAACTCGGTCCTAACTCATCTGGTGCGACCATAAGTCTCGAACAAGACCTTAATAGCTTAGAATTAACCAAAATAGATTAGAAATTAGACAAAAACATTTACAAAATGTTATACGACAATAATTTAATCGAAATGTCTCTACGACTCAATAGATCAGAGCCAATATTCCGAACCATAACAGAACTACCCGGAATTGGAAGAAGACCTCGAACCAGAGACGACATACGACAAAGTAGAAACTTGCCATATAGCTATATGATAGTTAGGCAAAAACCAGAACAAACTTTTATATTTAGAATACTACTGGCAATGAATTTAGATTTTCATTTGCAAACATAAAACCTTGAAGTTAACCTTCAAAATCATTTCAGGCGCTAAACAAAATTATTAATATACAATAACGATTGATAAAAAGATCTAAGATCGTTTTCCTAAAATTCTGCAGTAATATACAAAACATGTTTGAAAAATATTTATTGAAAAATAAAAAATAAAAATTAGTAGCATGACAATAAATGGTTAGTAATCATACATCATCCTGTTGTTCCAGCTCCATCATCTAAAACATAACAGCAATCATAAACCCACTAATATCATCAAAACACTAAATCTTTCCTTTACACACATTTAAAAATTTATTAAAACTTAAATTCACTTAATTTTAAAACCAGATCATCAAGGCTTATCCTTGGATCTTAAATCATTTTCTACTTAATTAAATTTCAAATTTGATCATCAAGGCTTATCCTTGGATCAAACAGAACAACTTTGTTCTCCCCCACCCACTTAATTAGTGTCTAACGACCTCAAACGTCGATTCACTACCCAACCCTTTCTAAAGACCCAAGACTAATAGAAATTTTTAAACAAAACTAATCATTCAAATTAGGATAAACAGTGAAGAACTTCGGTTATTCATCCTTCACTTGACCCCCCTCTTACCAGACCCAGGATAAATCTTAGACTTAGTAAGTTTAAAATAGTATCTAACGAACTACTCGCGTTCTAATTATACCTGAACCTTGTGGATCGATTTACTATTCTCCAACCCTTGAACACAATCACTACCCCTAAGTAAGATTAAGTAAGTTAACACCTTAACTTATACTAGCCACGAGAAAGTAAAAAATCATTCTTCGGAATCGATATACTTTTCTCTCCAACCCTGAACAAATAGACCCAGGTTAAGCTAACCAAAAAATCGTAAGAACTAACAGTTTAGGAAAATAGAAATCATTTAACAACCTTTTGCATCCGTCATCCTAAACCTTATGTCATTTAAAAACCTAGGAAATAAACAAACAATCGTTTTACACAATTGTGAAATAGATAACAAAAAATACGACCTTGTAATCACACCTCATACACAAACAGTTGGATACATTCGAACAAAACAACAAACACTAAAAAGAAAAATAATAACGAAACAAAGACAAATAACACGAAAAAGATTTTCAAAAAACCGAAACGCATTTTCAGAATCAGAAACCAACAGTTTAGACGAACTTTACAAACTAAAAGAATCAATAGATAAAAATTGCCCACTTCACGATCAATTATATTTTTCTGACTCAGAAACAACTTCAAATTCATCAAAAAGAGGAAAAAGAAGAATAAAAAAGCAGTATAAACACAAACCAGTACATTTATACAATTGGAATCAACCAATTCGACACATTGATAATTACATATTAACAGTCATCGAACGAAAAAATGAGCTCAACGCACACCCCAGGTGAAGAAACCCCAGATGATGATGAAATCTTTCCTTTTATAATAGATGCAACCACTGATAGAGGACAGCATATATTTTGCAAAAATTTACTATTAAATTTATTTGAACCCGGAATCAGTCCATGTAAAACAGAGTTCCCAGATGTAAAAATCAAAAGACAAATCATAGACCACTACTTAAAAGATATATGCAACATAACACAACAGTATGGAATCTACTCCATAGAATTCACCTCACCAAACCATAATAATAGAAAATATACAATTCAAACAGACGATCTTGATTTAGAATTTTCAAAAGTTTTTTCAGAATATATAAAAAGCATCCAATATCATAACTCACAAAGAGCAAACTCCATATTCACCAATGAAGTTTTCGCAATAATATATAGTTATATTTCGATATTAGAAAACGAAATCCCAATAACAAATGTCTCACCGACAGAAACATCTAAACATTTAAGAGTACGACATGAAATCACACTACTCTCTAGTTATTTAAACATCATTAAAGAAAATTTCACGAAAGACGACGTTTCACAACATACAAAACACGATCTACAAAAAATTTTGGCATGGTTCATAATAGATTATTTCTTACACAATATTGATTTAATTGCACAAGCAAGAAAAAATTTTAGACCCCAAAACTCGAACGATGATACCGCTATCACAGAACAATCAGATTATGTTTGGGACCCCGAATGGTCTCATCCCGCATTTATAAGCTTCCCACAATCAATCTCAAGTCAAGCAATAAGTACGATATCTTACATAAGAGATTATGTAAAAGTAATACCATTAACCATTGATGCAACACCATTAAACTATAATACATTTTTGCCCGATACACAAAATAATAGTTTAAACTCTACAGTTATACACAATGAAAACCTCAATGGAACTAGGAATCTTACTCAACAAGATATCCAGACACCATCACACTTCATAAATGAAGAAATTGTACACACAACAACTACACAACAAAGTATTTCACCAATACGCCCAAATTTAACAACACCAAGAAATACAAATCCTTCACAAACACAGGTAACCTTACAATCAACCGTTAAACCTTCGGTTGCCCCTAAATATTCACATATGGATTACCAAACATACAGACCCATGACAATACCATCAAAAACACGCAAAACATTCACTAGAAACAACTTTACAGACCATAATTATAATTATACACATCCATCAAAAACATATAATCAACCACAAAGGAATTTTAACCAATATACAAGATCTCGAAATTGGGATAACCCAATGACCCAACCTAATTCAATAAATTTCCAAACAAATCCTCCACAGGATCACAGTGAAAATTACCCATTTTTTCAACAAAATAAAAATAAAAAACAGACATCTTATCAAATGGATTATTTATCCTCAGATGATGATTTCTTACAACCAGATATATTTGCACCAAATACTCAAGAATATCGTAGACAAGGAATACAGAGAACACGTACAAATCATAGAAATTTTTCTCCACAACCAATAGATGCACAACATCAACAACCAATTCAACAACAAAATTTAATTAATACACAATCTTTTCAACCAATTCAACAACAAAATCCAATGACTGCACACTCGTATCAAGCATCACAAATGCAAAATGAAATACCACTCCCATATTATCTCCAACAACATGAAATAACAAGAAACCAACTTTCAAATTTTTCTCAAATGCCAAATGCAGCAGAATCATTACAAATGACAATGAATCCATACCTTATGGGTGGATCATCAATAACATCAAACAAACCTTTAATGGTTTTCACAGGAACAGACCCTGAATACTCTGTAGAAGATTATTTAAATGCAGTAACAGCAAACCTGATTTTAAATATTGGACCTGAACCCATTAATACGCCACTACATCAAAACTGGATACATCGACGCACAGCGTTAATACAAACAACCTTAGATGGCGCAGCCCAAAAATGGTTTTCAGTACTACCTCTAGAAATAAAATCAAACTGGAAAAGGTTTACACAGGAATTTTCAAAAATGTTTGACTCCGAAAGAAACAAACAACAACAAAGAGTTTTATGTAATGAAATTCGCAGATTACCAAACGAAACCATCAAGCAAATAGCAGTACGAATCGAAACACTAGTTCGAAAAGCATATTCATTAAATACACATGACTATAAAAACACAAAGATGACAGAAATCTTAATGATGACCTTAACACCACAATTAAGGAAAATAGCAATAAAAAAGAGAGCATCCCATCCTTCTTCAATTCGAGAACCCGATTTAGATTTTCGAAAACTAGTAGACAAATTAGAACAAGCAGAAATCACGATGAAACTAGAAGAAACGGAAAATC